CTGCATCGGGATCGGTCCATGTGGCTTCTCCTTGGGGATGTCTTGGAGGAAGTCAATCTTGCAAGCTGAAGCAGGGAACTGCTAAGGTAGCTGCACCCTGGTGCAACCATCACAAAGCAAGAGACCCGAGAACTAGAAAGGCGAGGCTCACCACCCATTTGTCCCTCTGCCTTTCAATTAGGCCCACATGTGATTATCGGCCAGGTTGGCACAATTAACTAACTTAGTGGTAATGGTTTTGGTGTTAGTGATGGTAGTTGCAATGATGGTGGCCGTGATATTGTTGGTGGTGGCGGTGATGATAGTGTTGTTGATGGTGGTAGTAATGGTGATGATAATGGTTATGATGGTGGTAGTGTAGATGATGGTGGTGGTGATTGTGGTGGTGTTGGTGATTGTAGTTGTGGTTGTAGTAATGGTAGTGATGATGGCTACAGCGGTGGTGGTGATGGCTGTGGCAGTCTTGGGGAGGGTGGTGATGGCAGTGGTGGTGATAATCGTAGTTGTGCTGGTGGTGGGGGTGATGATGGTTATGATGGTAATAGTGGTAGTGGTAATGGTAGCGTTGATGGTTAACGATGGTAGTGGTGGTGGCGGTTCTTTTTCCACAGAGTCCCTAAGTTCCAACGAGACAGCTGATTGATTGTACTCTCTTTCTGTTAGGACAAAAGGAGTTATTCTTGTCCTGTGTGTGAGAAGTCTTTTTCAGAAGATCGATTGATAAAGTCACATATCAAGACCAGCCATCCTGGTAAGGTTATGCCTTTTACAGCTGAGAAGCCATTCCAAATGCCTATGTTTGTCCTCAAGCCGGCAGTGTGTTCCTCCCCGGCTCTCCCTGGTGTGAGTGGGATGAGACACTAGTAAACACACTCTCTCACGCTGGGCTTTCTTTGAGGAACTCCCCATGTGTTGGTACCCCGTGCCTGCTCTTCAGAGGCATACCAACCCCCAGAACACCCCCCCCCCCCCGCCCCCCCGTGAACTTGGGACTGCTCCTTGGTCCTGGGGCTGGCAGAGCTCTGGCTATCTGGCCCATGAAGTATGCTTGCAGAGGGGGGCTCTTCATGTGGCACCCTGGTCACTTCACCCCTCCCCTCCCCTCCAGCTCAGATGTGGGCACTTCACCCTCCATCCTTGCCACCTGGGCCAGCCTTCCCCTCACTTCTCCCCACTGACTCCCCATCCACTTGTTATGTTCTCCCTGGGACTCCCATTCCGGGGGAGGCCCCAGTGCACCCCCCTCGCAGAGCTCTGTCACCATCAGTCGTGTGCCCAGACGTTGGCGCTGGGAGCCTACCGGGGGCCACAGTTACATCAAGTCCACCCTTTCTTACCCCTTCCCACACCCCACTTTGGGATCTATTCCTGGCACTGGAAGCTAACTCCCTGGTGGTCAGTGCCACGGACCGGTGATGATGCCAAGGGCTTCTGGGAGATGGGAGGTCACGCAAGTCTCCGAGTGCCCCATTCAGCCCTTCCCTTGTCGCCGTGGCCCCTGTGAGCACAGCTCACTCATTCAAGCCACCAGCCTTCGCTCAGGGACCAACGCAAGACTTTCATATCGTCCTCATTGTGAGCTTTGGTCAGAGGAAACTTCCAACACGTACACATGCACGTCAGCCAGACTAAACCCACGGCCGCCCAGTGGCTTCCAGCACAGAGTAGAACGGGCTCCGGGTCTCCCAGGCTCTGTGCGGCCAGACACCTCTCTCCTGCCGAGCGGCTGGTGGGTTTGAACCTAACCTTGGCACAGCACCAGATAAGGTCTGCGCCCCCCCATTCCCCCACCACAAGCCCATTTCTTAGCTGTCACAGTTATTTATATTTTGCCAAATTTATTTCAGGTATCCGCCCCCAAACTTAACTCTCTCTTTTCTGGAATATTCTAAAGTTCATCCCAGACCTCATGTCATCTCCCCAGAAAAGCTTTAGGACATACCCTGGTCACCAAGGATTTCTGTCGAGGGAAGCAGCATGCCGCTCTCTACTACCCCCCAGCATTTGTCCACATGAAGCGCCCCCAGGCGAGGTGGGGTGTGTGTGTGTGTCTTCAAACAGGTCTTTGGAATCAGGGCCCGCTTGTTTGCTTTCCCTGTGGCACCCGTCTTCTGTGCCATCCCTCCACCCCCTTTCCCAGTGAGAGTCATTGCTGCAGACCTGGGCTTGGCATGGCCTGCACTGGTCATTTACTGCCCCTCAGGGCTGCTGCACCAGCCTCGTGTCCCACAGTGACGGGTGGTGAGAGGCTGCTCACACTTCTCAGACAGAAAGCTCTCCCATGATGCCCAGAGGCAGATCCCTGTGGGGTGCACCTCCATGAGTGACGCTGGGATTGGTCGGTGGGCTCCCCAAGGTCACTGAGATCTACCTGGAACTGAGGGTCCTGCCAGCATGCTAGGAGTTGTGCTGGGCTGCTAACCACAAGGACGGCTGTTCACACCCACCAGCCTCTCTGAGGGAGGAAAAATGAGGTTTTCTGTAAAGCTCTACAGCTTAGGGAACCCACAGGGGCAGTCCCACCAGAATTGACTTGAACTGGAAGGGAGCTCTTGGTGGCACTGTGGGCTATGTGTTGGTCTGCTAACCATAAAGACAGCAGTTCAAACCCACCAGCCACTCCGAGGGAGAAAAAAGGCTGTCTGCTCTGTACGTATTTCCAGCCTCGGAAACCCTGTGTAGCTCTCTGTGTGTCAGAACTGCCTCCTCGGCAGTGCGTTTGGCTGGGCTCGGTTGCCTTCAGCTGGAGGACCCTGGAGGCGCTGTGGGCTAAACATGGGCCTGCTAACTGCAAGCCGGGAAGTTCAAATTCACCAGCGGCTCAGAGAGCGCGCACCCACGCCCACGCCCACGCCCATGCCCAGGCGCTCTGCTCCAGCCCTGCCCAGCCCCTCAGGGCCGCTGGCCGCCATGAGTCGGGATCACAGACAGCATCTAGCTGAGCTAGGGTGCCTGTACGTCTGACCGCTGCCCTCCCTTTCCCCAGAGGTCTCTTTGAGCACCATCTCGGAGGTCCTCGGCAGGAGGGTGCAGCTGAAGGGGCTCATCGGGAAGAGAGCCATGAAATGCCCCTACTGCGATTTCTACTTCATGAAGAATGGCTCGGACCTGCAACGCCACATCTGGGCGCATGAAGGTCAGTGCTGTGGTCAGTGTGGAGCTGGCCTCTGGCGGCAGCCCCCTTCACCGGATGCTAGACATGCTTGCAGGGCCAGGCAACAGAGCGGTGATAGCCGTCCCCCCAGGTTGCGCGGTGGGCCAGGACCAGAGTGGAAACACCTCTGGAGCACAGGCCTGTGCCCACTGGGCTCAGCTCTGCCAGTTGTGAGGAGGAGCCGGAGCCAAGACCGAGGACCGGGCCGGCTTCTTTGGCGCCATCGTGAATTACGTAGATATTCCAGCAAACGCCACGTGCGTGTAAAGGTGGCCCAGGGAGCCTGGCGCACCTGCACACCTGACCTCATGTGGTGGTGGCCAGTCAGTTTCACGATGTTGGTCCCCATGAGGCTGGTGGGCTCTGTGTACCCCCGGGGAAGGTTGAGGCAGGGCTGGGCCAGCGGTCGCTGTGAGTTACAGGCACACGTCTATCATATACTCGCACACCTGTATCATACATGTGCACCACACGCATGCACACACACAAACTACATAAACTACAGGTATGTCACTGAACACCTGTATCATACATGTACATCATATGTGCACACACAAATGACATAAACTACAGGTATGCCACGGAACACCTGTATCACACATGTACATTATACACACATACACAAACTACAACTATGTGACTGAACAACTGTATTATGCATGAACGTCACATGCACACACACAAATGACATAAACTACAGGTATGCCACTGAACACTTGTATCATATATGTGCGCACACATAAATTACAGGCATGTCACTGATCACCTGTGTCATACATGTGCATACACATAAACTACATAAGCTAGAGGCATGTCACCGAACACCTGCATGTAGCACATACACGGTCTCACGCACATTACAAACACATCACACTTGGTTATCACATGCACCCAGGGCTGCCGAGTGCACACACATGTGCTGTCCTGTATCCTCCAGGTGTGAAGCCCTTCAAGTGCTCTGTGTGCGAGTACGCGACGCGGAGCAAGAGCAACCTCAAGGCCCACATGAACCGGCACAGCACCGAGAAGACCCACCTCTGTGACATGTGCGGCAAGAAGTTCAAGTCCAAAGGGACACTGAAGAGCCACAAGCTCCTGCACACGGCAGACGGTGAGTACCTACCTGCCGAGGGCCGGCCCCAGCCCACCTGCCGGCCATGGGGGAGGGACGCAGAGGAAGCTGCCTCAGGGAGGGAGGTGTCCTCAGGAAGCCTCCCTCTGCTTCTGGAACCTTTCACCTGGAGCCTGAGCAAAGGCGCCCTGCTGGTGCCGTGGACAGGTGCTCAGCTGTGCAGCACAAGGGTGGGGGTGGGGGTGGGCAGCTGCCCCGCCGGATGGAGTCCCCTCTGTCTATCTGCTTCTGTTGGGGACGGCTGGACACCCTGGTCAGTGCTGCCCGCTCAGTGACAGCCTGCACTGGACCTCTTTGGGTTCACCATTGAAGCTATGTCAGGACCTGGCACTTCCAGGGAAAACGGGCTCAGGCTCCAAAACCAGTGATTGTGGGACGGTGGGACCCAGATATTAGAGATGCACCGAGTGGACCCTTGCTCCGTGCTTCCCTGACAGCGGATCTGGGGTGCAGGCCCGTGGGAGCAGGCTTGCCGTCCGAGGTTTGAGCTCGGGGAGAGAGGACACGAGGACGAGAGGCTCCTCCAAGGGCGAGTCGTGATGGCACCCATGACTGACGGCCTGGGCAGCAGGGGTGGTGGGCGGTGGGCTCCCCCGGTGGAGGGGTGAGTCATGCTGGGCCAGGGAAAGAAGCAGTTGGTGCTGGACACAGGCTGCTGACCCATTTGTTCTGAGTGCCACCGAGTCCAGCGCCCCTGTGCGCCACAGAAGGAAACACTGCCCCATGCTGTGCCGCCGCGGGTTACAGCCCCTTGTTGCAGCCGCCATGCCCCTCATCTTGTCCAGGCCCTTCCTCTTCTTCACTGCCCTCCACCCTTACCAGGCACGGTGCCTTCTCCAGGGAGCCCTGGTGGCATACTGGGTCCCACATTGGGCCACTAATCTGAAGGTCAGCAGTTCAAGCCCACTAGCCGTTCCTCCAGAGAAAGACTAGGCTTTCCAACCTGTATAGTCCTGGAGACCCACAGGGGCAGGTCCACCTGCCCTACTGGTTTGCTGTGAGTTGGAATCAACTGGATGGCAGTGAGTTTTGAGCAGGTGGTGGCGCTGTCTGGTAAGCTTGGCTGCTAACTGTGAGGACAGCTGTTCAAATCCACCAGCTGCTGCAGGGGAGAAAGACGAGGCTATTTGCTCCTGAGAAGATTAGCAGTCTCGCAAACCCTCCTTCTGTGGGGTCACTGTGAGTCAGAACTGACCAGCGGCAGAGGGATGGTGGGTTAGGTGTTTGTGAAGTAATGTCTCCCTTTCAAGCCCTCAGCGATCCTGGAGGGGGAGGCCTGTGTCTGAGGGGCCGTGGATAAGCCTGTGATATAGGGGAGACTCTCTGTCTGGGGCTTCAGAAAGTCCATGGGAAAGGTCCATTTCCTTTCCCTTTCATTCCTCCGGGCACTTCTGCAAGCCCCGCCTGCCGGGTGTCTTTTAAAGCCCCTGGTGTTCGGGTGTCTTTTAAAGCCCCTTGTCTGCCGAGTGTCTTTTAAAGCCCCTGGTGTTCGGGTGTCTTTTAAAGCCCCTTGTCTGCCGGGTGTCTTTTAAAGCCCCTGGTGTTCGAGTGTCTTTTAAAGCCCCTGGTGTTCTGGGTGTCTTTTAAAGCCCCTGATGTTCGGGTGTCTTTTAAAGCCCCTGGTGTTCTGGGTGTCTTTTAAAGCCCCTGGTGTTCTGGGTGTCTTTTAAAGCCCCTGAGTTCCGGGTGTCTTTTAAAGCCCCTGGTGTTCCGGGTGTCTTTTAAAGCCCCTGGTGTTCCGGGTGTCTTTTAAATTCCCTGGTGTCCCGGGTGTCTTTTAAAGCCCCTGAGTTCCGGGTGTCTTTTAAAGCCCCTGAGTTCCGGGTGTCTTTTAAATCCCCTGCAGTTCCGGGTGTCTTTTAAATCCCCTGGTGTTCCGGGTGTCTTTTAAATCCCCTGGTGTTCCGGGTGTCTTTTAAATCCCCTGGTGTTCCGGGTGT